ATATATATATATATATATATCACATAACATTATCATACTACATAGACATTTTCGTTTAATAAAACAAAACTTATTTAATAGAAAGATTAAAATGAGTGATAAATTATAATTAAAATAAATAAATTTCATAAAAATTAAAGACTATATTAATATCTACAATATAACCATTTACATAAAAGAAACCTTTCTACTCACTAATGAACATTTCATTTCAATTAAAACACACTAGCATATTATTGTCTCCTATTTCAGTGGCGTAGCGAAAGATAGAGCTAGACGTTATTCCGCCCACACCTCATTTAAATAGATAGATTCACGAACGGTAGAACTGCCTGAACAATAGGGAAATAAGATGCATCGTAGATTAACCTGAGTTGTAGGCAAAAGGATAGATACAAATGAACAAGGTTCTCTAGGTCATAGTTAAATAACACAGCTCTACGCAAGCCAAACTTTTCATTCAGAATGTGCCCAAAAGTTCAAGAAAACAAATACGATTGAATGAAAAGCCTGATTTAGAAGTCTTGAAATCTTAGACTAAAAAATACGTCTACAAACAAACTACAACAGCAGAAGGAAAGCATGAAACAAACAGATAAATATTACTTCCATGATCTCACAGTCACACTTCAAAAGTGCTGCTGCTATTCTCTGCTTCTTCAAGCATTTGCACAACCTGTGCAACGCCTTCTTCAATTTCCTTCCGGATGACTCCATCAGGCATATCAAATGTCCTCCTTTTGAAGGAGAGTGATGCTGATGCAGATCTTCCACCAGGCTGGGGATCTACCACATCAAGCATTGCTTCCAGCTCATCCACCATTGACCTCTTCGCAGATCTTACCATCAGATCAGCTCCCTAAGAAACATAAGATGACTGACCCCGTTAGACAACTGTCAAGTATTTCTCCTAACTCTCCAACTATTATACACTTCCTTCCTGTTTCTTTGGCTGGTTCACCATGACTAAACAGTACAAATGCCTTTCTGGTTAACAATGAGTTAACCTGGTAATAACTTGACTTTTCAGTAACTGTCGTTTTAGTCATGGGCACAATAGTACTCCAGACCCAAAATTTCTATTTTTTCATGATTCAGATCATCAGAATCACTGTTAAAATTTTCTTGAAATAAAAAGAGAACTTCCACTCCTAATTCCTAAACCAAATATAGAAACATGTGGAGGGGAAGCAATATCCAGGATAATTCCACAATTGATAATCAAGGTAGTAAAGTTTATGATAAACTCGAAATGAGCTATCTATTAATATTCAAACTTGCCTATATACAGACTACTAAATTAACATCTGGTATGATGTTTAGCAGTCCAGAAATGTGGAGAAAGCTCATAGTATTCCAAGAAGGGAGATCCAGAAATGGAAATCGTTACCTCAATGGCATCAACAGTGAGGAGCAAGACAATGATTTTCTCAGAAAACCGCTGGCGCTCCTCTGCATCACGAGCTACATGACGGCGGTAAGCAAAGTTATTGAATTGGGCTCTGATTTCTTTTAATTTAGATTTTGCAACGGCCAGTTCTCTAAGGGCACGCAGAGCCTTTGACCTACGGATCAAGTAAGCTCTAAAAGTGATCTGGATCAACAATGCAGCATCTTGAGGAGACACGTCCTTCTTTTTGCCCCTCTCATTTTGAACAGCTCCAAACCTCTTGGCAAATGCCTTCCTCAACAAGTTAGATACAAACAGAAGAAATCAGCATACTCAAAATCCTCCAAACTTTAAATACAGTAGCATTTATTAGTATGAATCTACACTTCATTAGAAACAACACATTTGGGATAAAGGTAAAAGGCAGCTAATACTCCAATGCTTACAGACTTGTTTATTTGATAATGCAGAATCCTTTATTAGAAGAATATGTAATTTGAATTGTAAACATATATCCCAGTCCTCCACAGCTATGATTCTAATACTATACTACCCGTTTGCACTTAGGATCTGATCCGGTAAACTTCTCTAAAAATACTTCTAAGAGAGAAAAATAGGAATGAAAAATGAAATAAACTTCTCTACAAGTTAAAATTAGCTTCCGCATAAGTTAATTAATAGAAACTCTCTCCTATTAGCTTCTTTGAAATCTCATTTTTAATATACACATGAATCAATTTTAGCTTATGGAGAAATTTACTATGATTTTTCTTTCTATTTTTTCACAAGTACATGGGTCACAAGTAGTCTAGTAATGCTGATCTAACCAGATTCATCCACATACAATGGAGTACTTTTATTTAACCCTATCTAGTCATACAATACGATAGAAAGCTAACATTAAATATTAAATATCTAATCCAAACAAAAGTAAAGGGCCGAAGACACACGAGTAGCCAGCCACACAAAACACATCCGCAGAAACGACGTCGCATTTGAACAAACCACCAGTCAAAAATCAAGATGAAAATGTATTATCACTACCTATCATATCACTCAGCTCAACAACAACCAAATTATTGGCCTCCCAATTAAAAATGCAGAAGATCACATGGCAAAAGTGATGAAATTGAAAGCTAGTAAGGTACACCAACCTGTCTCAAAACGACATCTCTATGATCACTTGGCTCATGAATCTCCACAATGCGCAACCCATTTCCCTTCTTCTTGTGCTTCTCCTTCTCTTTCACCTTCTCCTTTTCCTTCCCCTTCTTCTCAGCACCACCACTCTCCACCTGAAACGTATACTTCCTGGAGCTTCCACTCTCCTCTCCTTTCCCCGTGATCTCAGCCGTCCATTTCACGTTCTTCGCCAACTTCTTCTTCTCCTCCTCCTCAACGATCTCCGCAACCCACTTGTACTTCCGATCAAAGCCGTTCCTCTCCGCTCCCTTGATCTCCGCCGTCCACGTGTACTTCCGGTCGCCGCCGAGCACGCGCTCGAACCGCGACTCCAGCTCGGCCACGCGGTCGGCGAGAGTCTGCAAGCGCAGGTCGCTCTGGAGGCGCCGGTAAGAGAGCGCGGGCGCGTGCACCAGATCCGCGAACCCCTCGAAGGCACTCGGAAGTAGCGGAAAGTCGAGGGATAGGGAAAAGGAGTCTTGGACGAAGGAAGGGAAAGCTAGGGTTTCGGAGTAGCAGAAAGGGGAAGGTTGCTGAATGAGGTGAAGTCGCCTGAATCGGGACATGGTTGGGTGAGTTGAATCGGCGATAACTCGTTGGGTGTATGTAGAATAGTGAAGTATGAGTGTGAGTGGTGATGTTGAAAGGGAATGGGTTTAAACTTTAAAGGGAGAATGGAGATGGCGACAAGGAAATGAGGGGTACGAGGAGAAGAAGACGAGGGTATAATTGGAAATTCAGGAATTTGCGATGACGGATTAGGTGTGAACTTGGGGCGCCGCGTACTGAATTCACCAAAGTGGGGTCACTGATTGGAATTAATTATTAAATAAGGAGACACTCGGAATCTTTGTTTCGTTGGAGATGATTTTGCTTCCCATGTGACCCTTTTTGCCTTTTTCTCCTTCCCTCTCACCATTTTCTTTTCTACTTGGATTCTCTCCGCCAATTTTCTCTCTCTAACCTCTTTCCTGTAATATTAATAACTATTAAATATATTTAATAATTTAAATTTAATTATTTAAAAAATTATATTAATTATAAAATTAAATTTAAATTATTAAATATATCTAATGACTATTAATATTACAAAAAAAGGCTAAAGAGAACAAATTACAAGAAAGTATCCAAATTCTTTTCTTTCTGTCATTAATTAAACTTTACTTTTTCCTCTTTTTTTCAACCTCGGAGGAAAGTAATTTTCGACGTCACACGGTGGTGGAAATTTTAAACAACAAAGAAAAGTACTGCTCACACTTTTTCCTTTACTATATTTTATTCATCAATATTTATTAAAAATTTTAATTTTCATATATTCTAATAAAACTAATAATATATATTTGGAATAACATCTATAGGATGAACTAATATTTTATTCCTTATCACTGTCTTAAAAATTATGACATGGATAATAGAATGGGTATGTTAGAGTGAAAATGAAATAAAATGTCCATATTTAATATTGGTTACGATTTATAAGTCATTTTATGTAATAGAGGACAAAGTTAATTTTTTTTAAAATAATCCCATCCTTTTAATATCAGTTATATTTTAATTGATATTATATATATCATACATCTTTTTAATTGATATATGATATCGGTTAAAATATGATAATTAATATTGTATATATTTATCTATTAATAACAAAGAAAATAAGTTTTGGAATATTATTTTTTCTCCAAAATTCTCAACTCTCTTTCCTTCAAAAACTTTTTCAACAAAACTAAATATATATAAATTTAATTATATAAATGACTTTTATAAAAATAAAATAAATTAATAAAAAAATAATTAATTTATCCAAATATATATATATATATAATTAATACTACATTTTACACATATTATAGCAAGTACAATTTTTTATATTAAGTTTATATAATTGTATCATCTTTTAAAATAATATAAAATATAAAATGATATTTATTTTATCAGATAAAATTAACTTATCATTAATCAAAAATATATAGTATATATAAAGAAAATAACTTCTTCCCTCTAAAATTCTTTCTAGTAATTATCTTCCCTCCAATAATTCTCTCATAAATATTTTTATAAAATAAATTGTTATATAAATAATATAAAAGAAACAATTTTGGTAATATATTTTTCCTCCAAAACTTTTTTATATATAAATGTTATTATAAAATAAGCTAATACAGAATAATTATTAGAACTAAATAAATATCCGAAAAATATAAAACCTGTAATAAATCACATTGATTAATAGTCACTGAATTTAAAATTCAAATAAATTAATAGTAATGCATACTAATAATTGCTACATTTAAGCTTCATTAATCAGTAATTATTAATACTGATAATATTAATTACCATTGATATTATATTTAAAATGTAAATAATTTTTTTGAAAAAAATTAAATAAATATGTATTATAAAAATATTAATAAAATTACACCATATAAAGGATTACATATATAATTACACATAATTTTAATATTAATTTTAAATAAAATTAAATAATATATTGTGTATTCAGTGTTTAACAATATGTAGCCTACACTGTATAACAGTTCTTTTGTAATGTTATATTAAGAACTTACTTAATTGTAATGTAAATATATTAATATATTAAAAAGTATATTAATATATTGACAAAATTAATAGTAAAAAATGTTATTTGTTATCATAAAATTTTATAGTTTAACAATGATTTCAACCTCTTCAGGATTCTTATTTTGTCTGACTAAATTATAACACAAGTCAGACACTTTCCTTGTATTTTCATGTGATATATGCTGATTTTTGTGCTTATTCAAACTTTATAAATTTTTGGTTTAGTGACTATTTTGATCTCTATATTTACACAAACTTTTCGTTTTCGTTCCTATTTATAAAATAGTATATTTTAATTCTTATATATCAAATTTTTTTAAATTAGTCCATATTGTTAATTGATATCTAACGTCATTTATTTGTTGCTAGTGTGACTATGAAAATGTTCATCAAACTTTATATATTTGTCCATTGACAGGTTGGAAAATGAGTTATGATGTGATACTCGTTGGTTAATACAACACTCAAACCTTCAAAATTATATGTTATGTGTTGAAGACTTAAACCTCAAATAATGGTAGCGTCAACAGTGGTTGCACAAATGAATATCGTGATGGGGAGAAGATTCATATAGAGTTTACAACACGGAGCAATATTCCACGTGAAAAAAATTAATAAATTTCAAGACTACGGCGTTAAATACAAAATAACTATATAAATTAATTTGAAAAAAATGTTTGTATAATGACTAAAATATATTATTTATAATAATATAAACTAAAAGAGAAAATCTGTGTAAATATGATTAAAAAAATAATCAATTATTTCATTAAGTTATTTTGGTTGGAATGCCATCAAGGAAATAAGTTTCAGCAACACTGTTCATAATAAGTGAGCCTCACATATAATGTATACTACAAGACTAAACATCTTTATGAATCATATGGAATTTGCCCTCCCTTTCATCAGCATCACTCTATACCTGCATACTATTCACCATCACGGATACACGACACTTTTGATCTTTTGTTGAGTTGGTTCTCAACACCAATCTCATAATTTGTAAACTCGTCTCACGACTTTATTATTATTTCTTTTAAATGAGATAAATGTAAAAATATGTTGAAAATTATTTTGTTTTATCATCCTTAGATATATTAATACCATTTTTGAACACGTCCAACAAATCTGAAATCTGTCTTATCATCTTTAGAAATTATGCACATTACATAACTTGTGCATAAACAACTGTTTAATGGTGCAATGTTATTTACGTATGACAGCGGAAATAATGCAACATTTTCGTGTATTAGTTTAGGATTTTAAAAGATTTTTTTTAGTAAATAAATCTATTAATATTCAATCATAATTTTATGTCACTTAAAAACAATCAAGTAATATTTAATCTGAATTTTCAATATTTTTAATTTTAAAGAGTCTATTAAAATTTATTGATATTCATTTGAAATTTTTTACAACTTAAAAATAATTCATTTGTATTAAAAAATATAAGAATTTTAAATGATTGTTATGTTAGAGGGATTTTGAAGGACTTTCTAGTGCTACTTATAAATACCAAATTTATAAAATAACCTCATTCAAACCTATCAAATTTTGGAGGATTGTTTAAAGTGATTTTTCAAGTAGTTCAAGAATTTCCAAGTCAATTTTATTTTTTTTTTTCCTTCTGTCTTTTCCATTTTTTATCTGTTAATAATATTGCACAACTGTTCATTGTTCATATATAATATTGTAATACTGTTTGCATTTCATTCCCTTATTTTATGAAATTTCAATATGTAAATGACAGTGACATTGATTTGCTCTATTTTTCTCTTCGTTATCTTTAATTGACTTGTTCTATTTTATTTTATTTTAATTGAATTTGTTCCTTTATATAACACAAAAAACGTTCGAAATTTCAACTTTTAAGTGGTAATTGTTTTTATAACACATGTTAAGAAAAGAGAAAGGTAAAAAATAAAATTAATATCATGATCTCTACAATATATATATATATATATATATATATATATATAAGATGAATTTGAGTTAGGGGTAAAATGAGATGAAAATGAATCTTAATTGGAGAAAAATCCTTTCAGCATAAAATCTGTGATCTCTTTCCTTCCCTTGAATTTGTTACTCTTATCAATTTTTTTAAGTCATAAAAATCCTAAAAATTCTTTTAAAATTCGCAGAATTTTTTTAAACAAAAAAGTTATTTAAAATCCTAATCTAATACTCTCCCTAAAAGTCATTAACAACAACATTTTAATTGAAAATGATTTCGACTATCAAGATTTTCATATCTAATATTTAGGCCCGGCCCAAAGAGAAGATGAAGTCCATTAAGGAGGCCCAATGAAAAAATTGATTAGAAAAAAATTGGGTCAAATGAATCGGGTGGGACAATTTCATTACAGATTAAGAGCCGTGGACAATAAACGAAGGTGAAGAGGGTTGAGTTGAGAGTTGAAATTCGATAGAGTGTCGTTGATTCCAATTCACGACGGAGGAGTGAGGAATCACAACCTCCACCGGCGAACCCTGTGGCTGTCGGCGACGCTCACACTCGCACTACGCCGATAGGTAAACCGATTTCACTCTCCACTGCGTAATCACTATCATTTCACCGTTTGTTTGCTCGCGTTCACTTCTTTTCTATTAGCGAATGAAGTCGCAACTTGCTAGGAATCTCCATCAATCGGAAATTTTATACTACTTTTCTTAAATTTAGGTTTTATAGATTTGCTTGCGTTGTGTTGATGAATGTTAACGTGGAACAGTGATGGAGAGTGCTTTTGCGAGCGCTTCTGCGATTTCAGACCAGAGGCAAAAGATAGAGCAGTATAAGAGCATACTCTATGCTGTCATTTCGTCTAATGACATTGTTCAGGCTAGGAAATTTATAGATCACAGTTAAGTCTCTTTTTTCTCATTTAGGGTTTTTTTCTGGATAGTGTTCCTCAATGTCAAGCTCTCAAACCTTCGTGTTTCGTATTCCAGTGTTATCAGATGATGTTCCATTAGTAGTGTCGCGGCAGCTTTTGCAGACTTTTGCTCAGGAGTTGGGGAGATTGGAGCCTGAGACGCAGAAAGAGATTGCTCATTACACCCTTGCCCAAATTCAGCCTCGTGTTGTGTCGTTTGAAGAGCAGGTTTAAATTTTGTGCATTCAGCTGAAATACTGCATGCTTGTAGTGTTTTCTTTCAGTGATTTAGGAACGTGTTGCTGTTACTACTTAATTGCAATTGGATTTTTTTTCTC